TTGGAAGAATGGGACTGAGTTATTTTTATAAATTCACAAAACTGTCATTATTAAAAGAGAGTGGCTCAGTGTCTACTACTAATAATAACTCTGAGGAGTAGATATGAAGGAACATCAGTTTCAACTAAAGGAGGAAAGCACTTTTTCAATGCTGTTCTCCAAATGGTTTCCTACTGAGTTGACAAATTTTTCAACACTGAAAGCATTAGAGCAAGAGACTTTGACCTTCTATCAAGAAAAGATAATCCTACTGGTTCTGTGAAATATATTAGTCTTGTGTTACACCAGTCTTATAATAATGCGTCTAAAGAAATGAACAAATTCAATCCCTTGGTGGATTTTTTTTCCCCATATACATAGTGTAAATATGTAATGCTATATTTTTGTATTTTGGACTAAAAATTAAAAGAATTACATTCCCATTTTACTCTTTATTTGCAGTCTCTGATGCTCTTTAATAGCTAATTGTTGAAGAAGCCCAATTTCGTTTTATACATGTCAGAACTGAGCCTGCCAGAATATTTCCATATCCCCAATAAAATCTACATTCCTCAGATTCCAGAAACTGATGTGAAATGGACATATTCTCAAGGAAATACACTTGCAAATAAAACAGGTAAGTATAATGTGTGTACTGAAATATCTAGCATCATTCCAGGAATTTTGAAGTCCTAGTTTAACAATTATAAACAAGAAGAGATTACTTTTTTTACTGACAAAGTTTTCATAATATCATTGAAGAGATAGTTCAGTTACATAAATACAAATTCTTGAATAGTATTTTGCAGTATAAATAACTTACAAATTACATCATAAAAATCTAATTTATGTGTTAAATTTGAGTGCTAAGTAAATGGTACTGAAATTGGCTGATCGATGTTTGTCGAAGAGTAGTTATCTGATAATGGCACTAAGTGCTCTTTGAGGAAACTGAGCTCTTATTTGGAGAATGAAGTTGTTTACAGAAGTTGTACTGGAGTTGAGGGTTAGGCTACTTCTTTTTCTTTTTTTTTCTTTTTTTGGAGAGGTTTTCGCTATAGGGCGCGTGCGCTCACCAGAAAGACAGAGAGAGACAGAGAGACAGAAAGCGAGAAATCATCCCATGGGTGGATGGCCACGCTGCAATCCCTTCTCCTCTATTCTCCTCTCGGGATCTTGGGCACGCACATGCATCCAGCATGAGTTTTAAGCCACCGGGTCCAGGACTCGAACCGTGGTCGACTATGTGGGAGTTCAGCGACATAGCCATTATGCTAACTGCTGGTCCCAAGGGTTAGGCTACTTCTAAGTATGAAAAGGTGGTTACAAATTATAAGTCACAGGGCAATCTGTTCACTTTTCCTCTCTAGGAGAACTAAGATCCCAGATACAAATGCTAAGTGGTCAGCAGGTAGCAAGAATTTAAGAGTTAGGTCTGGGGGCCAGCAGGTGACATGGTGGTTAAGGTGCTAGGGTCCCAGGTGGCCAACCATGGTTTGAGTTCTGGACCTGGTGGCTTGAAACTCATGCCAGGCGTGTGTGCGTGCATGCCCAAAATCATGAGAGGAAAATGGCAGAGAAGGGACTGTAGCATGGCCATCCCCCCTCAGAAGTGATTTCTTGCTTTCTGTCTGTCTCTGTCTCGCCAGCAAGTCCACATGCTCTCTAGCAGAAATCTCTCAAAAAGAAAAAGAAAAAAGAAAAAGGGTTAGGTCTGGTCTAAAGGAATAAGGATGATGAATCTTACAGGGAACTAAGGGTAGATTCCCTGTCTAAACATTCAAGTTCAAAAAACTAAAAATCAAACCCCGAGCCAGCCAAAAAACTGTGAGGGCATATTTGGCAGACCCACAGTCTGAAACTCCTCATTGTAAGTTTTTTCTTTTTTAATTTTTATTATTTAGTCTTCTTAACACCAGTTTTTTATTGTTCTATTAAAATTTTAAATGACTTATTTTGATAACTTTTAAAATCCATTTTGAGGTAACTGGATGAGGCTGTGCACATTTTAAAACACAGAATTGTCCATCCAAGCTGCTTTCTATTCAGCTGTACATTCAATGATGCTATTGAGCATCAGTTTTCTTAGACAAAATGGTGAAAATTGCCATATTCTTTGGATGACTCATAGATGAGTAGATTTTACAGTATAAGGAATAAATGCTATTGATAGAGAGTCATCATATAGAATGTGTTTAGAAATAAAACTAACAATACAGCTGATTACATAGAATAATTCAAGTTCTAAAGCACTTCACTTTAAGAAAATATAGAAAGATACATAGATGAACCAGCAGCTGCCATGGTGATAGAGATGCTAAACTCTCACGTGGCCAACCGTAGTTCGAGTCCTGGACTGAGTGACTTGTTTTCTCACTTTCTCTCCTTCTGGTGAGCGCACAAGCCCTATAGCAAATTAAATAATAATACTAATGGGACCAGCAGATTGCATAATGGTTAGTGCAGTTTGAGTCCTGGCTTGAAACTCATGCCAGACACATATGTATGTGTGCCCCAAATCCCAGAAGAGGAATGGAGGAGAAGGGACTGCAGCATGGCCATCCCCCCAGGGGGTGATTTCTCACTCTCTGTCTCCCTGGCAACCTCAACAACCTGTAGTAAAAATCTCTCTAAAATAATAATAATTATAAAATTAAATACTTTTTTTTAAAAAAAGACATAGAATAGACTTGACATGAAACTCGATGTATGGTCTCACTAAAGACTACTGAAGACTGACAGACTATAATGGTTTTTCATTTTAAGTACATGTGACACTATTTTGAAGTCTGTCAGGTATATTTCTAAGGCTGAATTTTTTGCTTTCATATCAATTGTTCATTATTCATTTTAGTATGAAGAATATTGTTGAGCCATTTTCCCTTTTCTCTGTGTCACTGTCCTGATTACAAACTTGCTTCCACTTTGCAAATCCTACTGATAAAAGTTGCTTGATTAATGTGCTTTTCTCTGGCTGTCCTTCCATACTTGTCCTCTCACAGTCACAGTCTACCCCTTGTTCAGTTGTCAATGTACATCCTGTCCTAACATTTGGGGTTTCTGTCCACTCCAGGCTCTTTCCTCCTATTCTGCACCATACATCAATGAGACTTGACAGTGTCCTATATTATTTTTAAAATGCATTTTAAATCAAATAATTTAATATAGCCATATCATATCAACATAACTGTAATGTATAAGACTGTTCAGGTTCTTTACCCTTTACATTTTAATATAAGATATTTTTGGTCTGACAAATCATTTACTTTCCCTTTCATTGTTTTATATCTGTGGACATCAATTTGAAAAAGTTTTAAAAAGTGAACTTTCAAAGTTTCTAATTCTTTCTATTAGGTCTTCAATGGTAAACATATGTTCTGCAACACTATATTGAGGGAGGCATTTAAATAGAAATTTTATAAGCTTTTTCCCTTAGTTTAAGCCCTAGCAAACATGCTGTTTATTGGTTTGCTAGCAGCTCATTCAAACTAATTTGCACACTTAGTAAATCAATCTGCAAGAACTAAAATTTCAACTCTGTTAAAACAGATTTCATTTTTAATACAAGATGATTAGAGAAAGTTTATGATATTCAGAAATGAAAATGCAAAACACAAAGTTAATTTGCTGCCGGCAATCCTGTCTTTTCTTCCCCATGGAGGGGTTAATTAGAAAGTGAAATCTTATTTCAGTTCTTTTCTTTGGGAAATTTTGTCTCATTAGAAAATTATACATAAAACAGACAACTTCCTAGTTAAAATGCTGCCAAGTTAGAGCTCCTTAATAGGCCTTCTCCTGATTTTCCATTAAATGATTCATAAAGACACACAGAAATTCAAAAATTCCACAGCAATGGAAAGGAAAGATAGCAGCTAGCTCTTAACATGAGTCCTATGAGGAATTCCCAGTATTTACTGAGCTGATGTGGCCAGATTGAAAAATACATTTAATAGCCTCGACAGGCTCCAGTCCAGTTAAAACTTAATTTAGATACCAAGAGGAAGCAGTCTAGTCCAGTGGTCTGCTTTTTCCTCAGAAATTTATTATCTATACCTGCAAGAAATGCAGGACGCTTCCTCCTCATTGTTGTACACCACATGGCACATAGTAAGTTTTCAAATGAATAAATGTATGTGAAATGCCTACTAAGGGCTTACTGCTCTTGAACTCTGTTTACACTTCTTGCTTTTCATCCCTCCTGAGAAAAACACCCCAACACCTGGACTTAAAATGACTGCTACTGTAGGGACAATGTGGAGGAACATTGTTCTACCAAGGAGGTATAAAATCTCACATGTAGATCTGGTGGCTGTGGTGGCAGAGATAAGAGTCCAAGTGAGTTGTAGTTCATGTTATTGGTGGGATGAGAGTTTATCAATGAAGAAGATAGGAATATATTAATATTTAAATTTCCCCTATATTATTAAAAAACTGAAACAGGATGAAAGAAATATCTTACCTACATTTGATAGACAGATGCTTTTGTTTAAAATTTGTTTAAATTTTATTTATTTATTTATTTTAATTTGATCAAAGAGGGACAGAGAGAGAGAAAGTGGGGGAGAGAGAGAGAGAGAGAAACCAAGCTACCAGGTCTGGGACTTGAACCACGGTCAGCCATGTGGGAGTCCAGTGCCCTTAACTACCATGCTACCTTCTGGTCTCGAGATGGATGCTTTTTTAATACAAGAAATTGATCCAAGGACTATGTATCAAGCTACCTGCACTTTCAGATCTAAGAGATCAATACGAAGTGAAAGGGAAATAAAACCCTGTACAAATGATCACCTAGAACAATATAAATCTCTCCTATTTCAAGGAAGAAAGAAAAAGCAGAACTAAAGTTTTTACAGTGCCAGAAGATAAGAGTGACACCTAAATTCACACACACACATAGGCCACAGTGAAACAAGAAAATAGCAAAGACAAGAGAAATTCTGAAATGCAATAAAAAAAGACAAATTATTTTCAAAGGAGTAAAAAATTATTCCAAATACAGAATTACCAACAGTAATAATAGAAGCCAAAAGACAATCAAATTATACTGCTTATGCAAATTAACTGTCAGCCTAGAATTTTATATCCTTGTCAAGTTTCTTTCAAGAGATAGGATGAAAAAAAAAATTCAACCAAACTATGAAATTAAGACTATTTAAAATTCACAGATATTTGCTAAAAGAACAAATGAAAGATTACCTTACAGATGAAAGAAATTGAATTCAGAATAGAGATTCAGAAACAGTATTTGATGAAATAATCTGTAAATGTGGGTTAATATCATGAGCATTAGCTCTAGAAATAATAACAATTAATAATTCAAGTATTATTAAAGACAAAATGAACTCAGTGATTAGACAATAACTTATAAAAAGAGGATTATTATCATTATAGGCATATGAGGTTCTTATATTTGAGGGGAGCATGGTTGAACTAATTTAAGACTTTGTAAAAAGAGCTTTTAGCCTTAGGATGCATGTGCTCACTGAAGAGAGAGAAATAGAGACAGTGAGAGGGAAAGTGAGAAATCATTCCCTGGGGGGATGGCCATACCACAGCCCCTTCCTCTCCATTCTCCTCTAAGGATATTGGGCACGCACTCACATGTGCCTAGCATGATTTTGAAGCCACTGGGTCTGGGACTCGACCTACGGTTGACCATATGGGAATCCAGCGACATAACTGCTATGCCATCTGCTGGCCCCAGTTTAAGACATTTTTATGTGAAGAATTAATATTGAAAATTTGGGGCAATGAAAAAATAGTAATACTAGAATGTATAATTTCAGAGTCAGTGGAGAGGAAATAAAGAAAACTTAAAACCAATAGAATACGAGAATGGAGAAGAGCTAAAGAAAAAATGTAGTAAAGAAGGGCACAAAATGAGATGTTAAAATACACACAAATATATCATTAATCACAATAAATATAAACAGACTAAATTATAAAAGTTGATATTTCACAATGGAAACTAAAATGCACCTTTATGCTATTGACAAAATTTCCTGGTAAAATATTTTAAACCCATATCACGTCTTATACTAATTGAAAAACAGCTGGCATACATATACCAATATTAAAATAAGTAGCCTTTAAGGCATATAAATGTAATACTTAATAAAAAAAAGGAAAAAAGGAAAGTTTAACTTAGAGAAGAAAAGAAATGAAAAAACATTTCAATTACAGTGGGAGATCTTATTATACCTTTCAATAATTAATAAATCAAGCAGACAGAAAAGTAGTTAAGTCCCCACTTGACTTGAACAACAAAGTTAGTAAGATGATCCTTTCTGTACTAGTAAGTCTAGCTTGGCTGTGCAGGGAATAATTGGCAATTTTTGCCTGTAGGGAATATTTCAACACCTACGGGAACAAGGCAGGGCATGGTCAACATCTGTTGCAATGTAGAATTGGAAAGGACTTGGAGCAAATCTATCCTTAAGCAGAATAATGGTATGATGATGCAGTATGGACAGTAAAATTGTCAAGCTTCTAAGGGTCAGAATGGTTTCAACTATTAGTCTATATCTAAGGGGACGAAAGTTTTTATCTATTGGCTTATGAGTCTCTTAACTCACAAGTGGCTCCTTACATACATTTAATCCTTTAAATATGGGGTGCTCTTTCCTGTCAGAAATTTACATATAATCTTTGACTCCCCCAAAACTTAAGTCATAATCAAATGTTGATCAGAGGCCTTATAAACAACAAACAATTGTTTAGCATTATGAGGAGACTGCAAAAACCTTGTGGGAAAATGGGATTTGAGTATAAGTTTATTTTGATGCAAAAAAATTCCAAATTCCATGCATAGCTTCCTCATAATATGCATTTCCATGAACTTTTTAAAGACCATTCATATTTTGTATATGTGTTATATACTGTATTCTTACAATAAAGTAAGCTTAAGGAAAAATGTTATGAAAATCATAAGGAAGAGAAAATGCATTCAAAAGAATCTACATGTAAGTGGAGTCATGCAGCTCTAACCTGCATTATTCGTAGTTCACCTGTATAATATATGCTAATACTCCAATTTATGTTTCTTATGTGAATCAATTAAGTTATTTCATAAGTTGAAGAAAAAGAAATTGTTTTATCAATAAATCTTCAGAAATAAAACCATCATTTGCAGAAAATTCTTTGTTACAATAGATTTCTTTTTAGACTTGTAAGAGAAAGAGTTCAATATTGCATATGTTAAGTGCCCGTGTCCTGAACATCTCATGATCTGGAAAATGTGCAGTTAAGAATATCTTTGAGGCCCAGCAGGTGGTGTAGTGATTAAGGTGCTGGACTCGCACATGGCTGACCAAGGTTTGAGTCCTTGATCCAGAGGCTTGAAAACTCATGCAAGGCATGTCTGCTTGCATGCCCAAAATCCCAAGAGGAGAATGCAAGAGAAGGAATTGTGGTCATCCTGGTCATCCCCCTGAGGGATGATTTCTCACTTTCCCTCTCACTGTCTCTCTCTGTCTCTCTGGTGAGCACTTGTGCCCTAGGGCAAAAGCCTTAAAAAAAATCTCTGGCTTTCACTTTCAGATTTATTTCATTACTAAATAAATCTTATTAGGGAAAGGAAATACAGCATATAAAATAAATCTTATAACAAAAGTTTTATATTTAAATTTGTACATTTTGATTAGTTTTTACTGTTAAATAAATAGTGACTTTTTTCCTTTGAAACAAATAATAATTCACAAAATGATTAAATTTTCTTTTGTAAGCAGTTTAATTTTATTTAAATTACCTATTTAAATATTTTTATTTTAGTGTGTTCATACAAAAGAAAAATCGAACTTCTTTTTTTTTTAATAAATCAATGAAGTTTGATCAAATAATGTTCTAATGCAATTGCCACAACCCAAATACCTCTCAGGATGAAAATAATCAATGGACAAAAAATGATAAAATGTGCCTGGAGTCTTTTTTCCGAAGAAAAGAATTATTCTAAAATTATGTTTACATTTTAATAGGGTGGAATAAAAATAACATTCTGGGGATCAGCAAATGGTGTAATGGTTACATTGCTGGAATCCCATGTAGTTGACTGCAGTTGGAGTCCCAGGCCTAGCGGCTTGAAACTTGCCAGGCGCATGTGTATGCATTCCCCAAATCCTAGGAGGAGAATGGAGGAGAAGGGATTGTGACATGGCCATCTTTCTTGGGGTGTGATTTCTCACTTTCTGTCTCTCTGTCTCTTTGCCGAGTGCACGTGCTATACAGGAAAAATCTCTCTAAAAAAGAAAAAATAACAGATTTTTTGAGTAACTGTCTCCTCCTCAGACCAACTGAGAGTCTGAGACTTGTTAGATGTCATAGATTTCTATTGTGATCCATTGTCAGTGTATTTTCATATATGATAGAAAACTATATTACACATGACAATATATGACACATAACTATGCACAATATAAAATCTATATAATATGTATGAATAAATAAGATATACATTTATAACATGAAATACAACATAACCTAATTTATGGTAGAAACATACAAACCTTCAATTTGTATTAGAAAGAGTTTAGAGCAGGTAATGTTCTTAGTATTGGTTTTCTTGGTACATAGACTTCAATGTGTTTGAATGCAAGTTTGCCACCTTTAACAGATAAAATACTAAATGTGACTGAATTAAAATTATAGCGTGGGCCGGCCCAGAGTGTGGTGGTTAAGGTAGCTGGATCCCACATGTCCTACTGTGTGGTTCACACTCTGGACCTGGCAGCTTGAGAAACACACAGGTGTATGTGCATGTGTGCTCAAAATCATAAGGAGGGAAAGATGGAGAAGAAGAGATTATTGTATGACCATTCCCTATGGGGCATCCTTTCTCCTTTCTCTCTCTCTTGTGAGCTGACAATATATATATATATTTTTTCCATTTCTCTATATGTGTATATATTCTATTTCAGTAGTTGATAATCTTGATTTGTTTTCTTGCTTCAGAGAGTTTCCTTGCACAGAATTAGGCATCCAAATTTTTATTTAAAACTTTTTTGTATTATTCAAATTTAAGTAGTTGGGACTAGACAGTATAGTTTGTATGATAATCTTATACTGCATACTACTTTACAGTTGTAAGATTTTTATAACTATTTTGTCATTTTATGGGAAATATAAAATGTTGACCTTTAAAGAAAAAGTAGTACTGTTTGAAAGGAAAAGATCAGAATAGATAGCCTGCCTACCATAAGAAATAATATTAACTATTAATGTTATTGAACAAACAGGTTCAGTTTTGGTTTGATTGCTCATTGTACATAAAAGTCAGACACTGAGGTGAAAAGGATTGCTGCAGAGAAAAGGTTTATTTGGGTAATGTCAGTCAGGAGATAGGTTTCAAACCTACCTTCCTGACTGGACAGAGTCTGGAATTTCTGGGGACAAGTGATATGGCTGTATGAAGGTGGGCCAGGGAAAGGTCACGGGACAGGCAGTGGCATCTATTAAGATGTCAAGTCTTAATCTTGATAGACTATGTCAAAGTAAAGGCTTGATGTCAGGGAGTCTGTTTTCATTTGGTTTGTCTGTTCTTTGTAGCTGCCTTTGAAGTTAAAGCACCTTGTTCTGGGAAAAAAAGACTCAAAACATACATTCTTAGATTTTATCAATCTGTTAGGACAGCTGGTCTACCTGAGATAGGGAGAGTATTTAATCAAAGTGCCCTATGAAAAATACTTAATCGTAATGCTCAGTGTGTTCATATACTTATGACTCGAAGGTCAGTGACTTATTAAACTCATGCAATCTGTTTTAACCTGGATCTTACTTTTAACTTATTAAGATTAAACAAATTTGGGACCAGCAGATGGGGCAATGGCTACATCTCTGAACTCCCATGTAGCCGACCACAGTTCACGTCCTGGATCTGGCAGCTTAAACTCACGCCGGGCGCGTGTGCGTGCGTGCCTGAGATCCCAAGAGGAGAATGGAGGAGAAGGGATTGTGGCATGGCCATCCCCCCTGGGGGGTGGTTTCTCACTTTCTGTCTCTCTGTCTCTCTGGCGAATGCACATGCCCTATAACAAAAACCTCTCCAAAAAAAAGATAAAAGAATTTCTAAGTAAGAGCTAAGGAGACGAATAGCATCAGTTCAGTATCAGTAACTTAAGGTAAATGTTATTACCAGTTGTTACGAGAAGTATTAGTTAGACATGTGTCTTTCTGTTTCCTTTGCTTATTATGTATGAAAAAAATTTGTATCTGCTATCTGAGTTGAAAAATTTTTTGATTACCCTGTGACAGAGTATCCAGACACCATAGAAATGTGGCAGATAGTAATCTTTACCAAATAGCACATATAGCCACCTCATTTCTCAGTCCCTTTTCAGTAAGATAGAGCCATGTGGCTGAAGCTGGCCAATTAAATGTAATGTGTTTTTATTTTGGCCTGAGCACTGAAAAGCCCTGAGCAACTTTCTATCCATAGCTTTCCTCCTGATCTGTAAAGCAAGGAAGAGAGGTGTTCTTGATGTTGCCACAGCAAGATAGAGATATTCTTCGCAGAATGTGACCCTGAGTGACTTTATGGAGATCTTCCTCTGACCTAAGCAGAATATAAACTGTCGTGGATAAGCAAACTTATGTTGTAGTCATGGAGATTTAGGGATAGTGTGTTATCTCAGTGAAACTTTTTCTATTCCAGTATATACTATACAATTTAATGCAATAATGTTAAATATTCCTTACTAAAATGAATTTTGAGATTTATATAAGTTAAAGCACTAGAACTTTCTTTAATAAAATTATTCTTTTCACTGCAGAGGGATCTTTTCCAGTTCCTTTACAATTTGTTCCTCTTGGTCCTGGACGTTATCCTTGTAAAATTTTGTTGACTTCAAGATATGACGTACGTTTATATTACATTGAAGGTGTGGTTAATAGTGAATGTCCAGAGGCAAAATTTGTGTTTGAAACACCAGCATTTGAAGCCATTACTCAGAATATTCCAATAGTAAGTACAAAGCTTTTTGTACTATTTTCATTACCACTACTATTGTCTCAATTAAAGTCCTCCAAACTTTGTATCTTAAACTATTACAGATTTCTAATCACGTTTCTCCACATTGATGTCAGAGTTACTTCCTGAATGTATATGGTATCACTTTACTCATTTCATTAATCATTTTTTCTCTATCTCTTTGCTTAAAAAATTAACTCCAGTGTTCTTTATGAATCATCAAATTCCTGCTCAAAAATCTATGCCTTCTAGCTTTACCAAGCAATTATGAAATCTCAGAGCACTCTACTCCAAATTCTGTTCTAATCCAAATAATTAAGATGGGTTTATAGGTACTGAAAACAATGGTTGGTTGAACCTTGGCTATATATTAGTCAAAGTGACAATATAGCATTCAGAAAGGTAGTGTAGTTGTAGGGAACTTCACATTTTCAGAATAACAAATTATTTGTTTAATTATAAAAGTTAACAAAATCAGCCTGTTGCACAAAAATTTGTTCTGATGAGATATGTAATTTTTGTTATCTGAGCAATCTACTAGTTAGGACACCTTTTATCTCCCCTAATTAAGAGTAAGTTGTGTCCTCAAAGATTATTTTGTCATTTTAACAGTAATTAGTAAGCCAAACAAAGGGGTACTTCTCTAGATATTAAATAGTTCTTGGAGAGAACTATTAGGTAATGCTCTGGGGTGACATATGAAGAATAAGTAGTCTTCCTTGTGCCTTATGTTCATGTTTTTGATAGTCGTTCTTAATAAATATGACTCTCCAATAGCAATTTTCAAGACCAGCAGCACATAGTTAACTGTGGTTTGAGTCCTGCACCTGGTGGCTTAAAACTCATGCTAATGACGCATATGCGTGCGTGCCCAAGATCCTGAGAGGAGAATGGCAGAGAAGGGGTTGTGGCATGGCCATCCTCCCTGGGGGGTGATTTCTTGCTTTCTGTCTCTCTGTCTCTCTCTCTGACGAATGCAAACTCCCTATAGCAAAAAATCTCTTAAAAAAACACAAAAAATATAGTGATTCTTAAGAAATACAATTAAAATGTAATATTTAATATTTTTAATTAAAAGCACCAAAAAGTTAACATGTAATTCAACTTCATCAACATCATCCCTTTAATATTTTTATACTTTTTTCATGCTTTAGATTAATAAAACAAAGAATGAATGGAAACTTCAAGCTACTGTAAAAGGAGAATGGTTTTATGGGCCTCCTATTTTACAAGTAGAACCAGAAGAAACTGTGCAATATCCTCTCACATTCAAGCCTATTTTGGAGTGTGAGATTAAGGTATGAATGCAATGATTTTTTTTTCCATCTAGTATTATGTCAATAAACAAATGTATTAGTCTACTAATTGATGGCAAAATGTTATAGAAAAATATTACATTTTTTCATATATTCAATCATGCTTTGCTTGAAAGTTTGGTAAATGTTTTAGTTTGAGAAAAGAAATATTCTGAAAGTCACAATACCATTATCTCTGAATACTTTTACCCCTGTTATTTTTACATAACTTGCTAAACAACGTAGAGTTATTGCTTTTTGTTTCTATTCATTAAGAAAATGTATGGATCAAAAATACTTCCTTAAAATAATATTTCTTTGACAAGGAAGTAAACAAATATATAAATACTGTGTATGAGAATGCTTATATAACCTCTATAATCTAGAGGAAGTATAGGAAATAAAGAACTTTCACCAGAAGTTTATCTTTATTTGTTTAGTAGCAGCATATGTGTGCAACTGGAAAAAACTGCCTTATGAGTTCATTTCACTAACCAGACTCAAGATTAATAGGATAGGGGACCAGCAGTTAGTGTAATGTCTATGTCACTGGACTCCCATGTAGTTGACCGCGGTTCGTGTCCCAGACCCGGTAGCTTAAAACTCACGCCTGGCGCGTGTGTGTGCATGCCCAAGATCCCGAGAGGAGAATGGAGGAGAAGGGATTGCGGCGTGACCATATCCCCCCTGGGGGGGGTGATTTCTCGCTTTGTGTCTCTCTGTCTGTCTCTGTCTGTCTGGCGAGTGCAGGTGCCCTACAGCAAAAAAACAAAACAAAACAAAAAACTCTTAAAAAAAAAAAGATTAATAGGATAGTGGAGGTTGTCTGACATTGAACTATGACTCCAATAGAGCTAAAATTTGTCTGGTTTATCATAGGGTCTACTTATTCTTCAAAATGAAGTGGATGGTATGGAGTACACTTTTTATATTAAAGGGATTGGGAAAAAACCCCTGGCCATGGATTGTATCACTGTGAATTGTGAAGTGGGGAACATAAAGGAGAAAACTATAACGTTGCCTAATTATTCAAACACTGTTATAACATATAAGGTAAGTTTTCTTTCTTTAAATATAAAAATGTCTTCTTTTGAAAAGTACCAAATCCCAAATGCTTTCTTCTGAAAACATTTAAATGAAAGAAAATATAATAATTATAAGAAATTTTGGGACCAGCAGGTGTTATGGTAATTAAAGTGCTATACTCCTAACACCATTTTTTGAAGAGATTATCCTTTCTCCATTGTGTTCCTTTGATACCCTTGACAAATACTGGTTGCCGTATATCCATTGGTTTATTTCTAGACTCTCTATTCTATTCCATTGGTCAGTGTGTCTGATTTTTTTTTTTTTCGTGGCAGTACCATGCTACTTGGATTTTTATAGCTTTGTAATATAATTTGATATCGGAAAGTATGATGCCTCCAACTTCGTTCTTTTTTCTCAAGATTTCTTTGGCTATTTGGAGTATTCTGTGGTTCCATAGGAAATGAAATCAGTATATTGAAAAGCTGCACTCCAGTGTTTGTTGCAGCATTACTCACAGTAGCCAAGAGATGAAATCACCCTAAATATCCATCAAGAGATGAATAGTTTAAAGAAAAAGTGTTATATATACTCAATGGAATACTATTAAGCCTTATATAAGAAGGAAATCCTGTCATTCACAAAACATGGATTAACCAGGAAGACATTACATTAAGCAAAATAAACCAGGCACAGAAAGGCAAATACTGCATAATGTCACTTGTATGTAGAATTCAAAAAAGTTGAACTCATAGGAATAGAAAATAGAGAGACCATGGGACCAGCAGTTAGCGTAATGGCTATGTCGCTGGACTCCCACGTGGTCGACTGCTGTTTGAGTCCTGGACCCGGTGGCTTAAACTCACGCTGGGCGCGTGTGCGTGTATGCCCAGGATCCCGAGAGGAGAATGGAGGAGAAGGGATTGCGGCATGGCCATCCCCTCTGGGAGATGATTTCTTGCTTTCTGTCTCTCTGTCTCTCTCTGTCTGTCTGGCGAGCACATGCGCCCTATAGTTAAAAAAAAAAAAAAATAGAGAGACCAGCAGGTGGCCTGGCAGTTGAGGTACTGGACACTCCCACATGGCTTACCATGGTTCAAGTCCTAGACCTGGCAGCTTTACTTTCTCATTTTCTCTCTCTCTCTCTCTCTTTCTGTGTGTGTGTGCCTCTCTATGGTCAAATTAAAAATGAATGAATGAATAACTAAAATAAAATAATTCTTTTTTAAAAAGAAGAAATAGAAAATAGAATGGTAGTTGCCAGGGGCTTGGACAGTGTGTGTGTGTGGGGGGGTGGTGGGGAGAGGTGGCAGAGAGATTGGGAATGCTCGTCAAAGAATAAAATATTTCAGTTAGATAAGAAAAATAAATTAAAAATATTATTGGATCTATTGTACAACATAATGACTATAATTAATAGCACACACACACACACACACACACACACACACACACATGAGTTTCAAGCTGCTAAATCCAGGACTCAAACCACGGTCAGCCTAGTGGGAGCCTAGTGCCTTAACCACTGTGCTACCTGCTGCCCTCAACCATTAATATTTTTAAATTGACAAAATTTTGCTCTTTTCAGAATGTCGTGTACTTGGGATCATACCATATGTAGTCTTTTCAGATTGACTTATTTCACTTAGTAATATGCATTTAAGTTTCCAGCATATGTTTTACAGCTAGAAGCTTATTTCTTTTGAGCATTGAATACTATTCCACTGACTAGATGTCCCATGCGCCGGGGGTTAGTTAAAAGCCACTACGTCCAGGACTCGAACCACAGTAGGCTACGTGGAAGTCCAGCGACATAGCCATTGTGCCAGCTACTGGTTCCACCATATGTTTTAATTTTTTAAAGAGCTTAGAACATAGATTTTAAGTATTTTAACACAAAAAAGATAACTATATGAGGTAATACATGTTAATTAGCTCAATTTAGCCAATGAACTAAATATATATATAACATATTTTATTATAGTATATATTGTATATTTTAAAACATCACATCGTACCCAATAAGTATATACAATTTTTATTTAGCAATAAAAATGTAAAAATTTAAAAGAGAAAACAGTGTACTAAATGAAAAGCCAGTGACAAAAGATGACATATGATTCCACTTCTAAGAATATGAATCTATAGAGACACGAACTAGATAAGTGCCTGGGCAGTGGGGAGTGACAAGGTGTAACCACCCAGTAAATTGAAAGTTGGATTTAACTAGGATTGTGGTCAAATTCAGTTTAAATATTCTTTTTATGCTGCATTAAGGCTGATATAGGAATTCATTGAAATGGCTCATCTTGGGACCAGCAGATGGTATAATGGTTACATCGCTGGACTCCCACATGACTGACTGCTGTTCAAATCTTGGTCCTGGTGGCTTCAAAATCACATCGAGCATGTGTGTGTGCTTGCCCAAGATCCCAGGAGGAGAATGGAGACAGGATTGCAGCATGGCCACCCACCTTGGGGAGTGATTTCTCACTTTCCCTCTCACTGTGTCTATCGTTCTCTCTCTCTCTCTTTCTCTTTCTGGTGAGCACATATCCCCTAAAACAAAAAGAAATGGTTCAACTCTTTTGAACATCAAACTGTATGAAGCAAGTTGTGCATGGCCTATAAAAATTATTCACATTTTCTAGCATCAGTGATTTTGATACAAACGGCAACATAAAATAGACATTGTCCTTAGAATAATTTCTTTTAGTTTTTTAAAGGCTTCTTCTTTTATTTTTCTTCTGTATTTAGCAGTTTTCTGGCTTACTTCTCATTTAAAAGTGAATAGTTTCTAAAATTTTATTTGTCTATTCCATAAGAAAGTGGGACCATAGGCATGTACATGCTTGCCGGGTATAGAGAGATCTCAGGATAAGATCCCTGGACCTCCCCAGGCGGCCTTATCACATGGCTGGCCAAAATGGATAGTTTTAATGAAAGTATTTAAATTAAATTTCAGGTTTTTCCCTATACTTTATCATGTTATACTAATTTCATGCAGTATACCACATAAAGCATATTAAAAACATTTCATGTTCATTTTATAGAATTCTTACTTTTGAATTCTCTTTTCTAGGTATCCTCAGATCTTTCAATTGTGTGGGGAGATTCATATATTACCATAGATCCTGATAATCCAACTACATACACTCTACACGTGTGCCCTTGGAAACGTGGCACATTCAAAGGTATCAAATTCATTAATACAATATTATTATTAACTACCACTCTAGGATGAATATATTATGAGAAGAAATGGGACTAGAATTTGTATCTCTCCTTTCTAATTAATAATTGACCCAGAGGGAAATTTAGTTAAGCATTAGCTTTCTAAATAATTAGTACTTTGGGCCATACAATGTATATCTAGTGATATAGTATCTTGGTTATTTATTCAAATTTATCTGTGGGACAGATTGCCAGAAGTGTAAATATTTAGTTGAAGTATTTACATTTAAAATTTGATAAATACTTTAAAATGGTTATACCAAAGTATAAACCCAACAGCATTCTATGGAAAGGACTGCTTATAGGACCAGGTCTTATAAAGACATTTACCTTCACTTAACTGATACATGAAAAATAGGCTAAAGATTTGGTGTACATGAAGTTTTCTTACTTTGTCTCTAATAAAGCATTTATTTGCATAAATTGCCCTTGCGGGGAGCCAGCAAGTGGCATGGTGGTTGGAGAGCTGGACTCCTACATGGCCTACCACATTTTGAGTCTCATACCTGGTGACTTGAAACTCATGCCAAACACGTGTGTGTTCATGCCCAAAATCCCAAGTGGAGAACGGAGGAAAAGGGATTACAGCATGACTATCTTCCCTGGGGGTGATTTATTTCTATTTCTCTGTCTCTCTGGTGAGCACAGACACCCTATAGCAAAAATATCTCTGGAAAAAAAAGTGCTCTGGTGGTTTCTAAACAGAATTACTTGCTTTGAAATAGGTATGGAAGGTATTCCTACAAATTTTTGAAGGGGAATGAGAAGTGATAGACGAGTGATAGTTGAAACTAAAGGGTTGTGATTCACCAGAGGACAATGCTGTCCCATTTGAGAGAGAGTTAAATGCCCATCAGTAGTTGGATTATGCTGAGAAATTATTATAATGAAGACAAGTGGAAACAACTTTAGAAGTGTATAAAGCATATAGCTAGTAGTGATGTTGTGCTCTCTGGAAGGAGTTGCCTCTCCTCTTTGCTTGCCTTAACAAAGAATGTTGAGGAAAGAGTCCATATCTAGCTTAGAAGGTATAGAGAGCTGCTACAAAGAAAGGGACCAGCAGATGGCATAATGGTTGCATTGGTGGACTCCCACATTGTCGACTGCAGTTTGGTGGCTTAAACTCACACCGCACATGTGTGCATGCGTGCCAAGATCATGAGAGGAAAATGGAGGAGAAAGGATTATGGTGTGACCATCATTCCCTAGGGAGTGATTTCTTTCTCTCTGTCTCTCTTTATCTCTCTGGAGAGTGAATGCTCTCTATAGCAAAAATCTCTCTTTAAAAAAAAAAAAAAAAGAAGAGGAAAGAAGAAAGTGAAGACAGTAGACTGGATGTCAATGTTGTTGACCAGCAGGGAAATGGAAGAATGCCAACCACAATGCTCCAATTATTACCACTGAAATAAAATGCACTGTAAAGGAAGAATCCACCTTCTGCTTACTGTTCCTATGTGGGAAGCCTTCAGGTGGCTGAGTTTAAGTTTCTAGTATGCTTAAAACTCAAATGTCAACACAGCAATAGTTGTTAGCACTTCCCCAAATATTCCACTTTTGAGGTGTTTTGTCTTTACAAAGCTCATTTGTAAGACTTCAAGTGGGTTTGAGCTATAGTGACCTTATTATAAGCATCTCAATTAAGTAACATATTTTATCATTTTTCTAGATAATTAAGATATGAATTGATTTAAGTATCATTTAACATTTAAATATCAGTTTTAATTTTAAATATCAATAACAGTCTTAACAGTTGCTGGATTTTCCTAAATTTTAGAATTCTAGTTCTTTTTCTTTTTTAAAAGGTAGCAAGTCATTTAGAATTGGAATGATTATTTTTAAGAAAGCGTAATGATTATCAGCTTCCTGTTCTATAAAAGACAGGAATAGGAAGACACATAAGAGGACCCACAAACTGTGGAATATTGTTGAATTAGGAATGTTTATGAGTACTTTAAACAAGGTTCCCAGTCTATAAATCAGATTCTTTCAGTTACTGAAATAGACCTAGGAAGTATTAAATAATTAGATTTGGCAGAACTTTTCTGTATAGTCATTTCATTGTTGGTTTTGGTTTTGGATACTTTTGTGGTGAGACCCTAAATTTTCTTTTTTTTGGAGAGTTTTTTTTTTTTTCTTTTCCTTTTCTTTTTTTCTTTTTTTTTTTTTGCTATAGGACATGTGTGCTCACCAGAAAGACAGAGAGCAGAGAGAGACAGAGAGACAGGGGTGATGGGCAGGCCACAATCCCTTCTCCTCCATTCTCCTCTCAGGCTCTTGGGCACGCACGCACACGTGCCTGGCGTGAGTTTCAGCCACTGGGTCCAGGACTCGAACCGCATTCAACTACATGGAGTCCAGCGACATAACCATTATGTTAACTGCTGGTCCCAAGCGACCATAAAATTTAAGTACATATTTTCACTGATCAGATAGAAACTCTTAAAATTTTGTGTTGAAAGAATTCAGAAAGAATTCGGGCATGTTAAAGGTTAACTCATTGAGTAAGGATTAGGTAATTGTTGCTGCCCACACACAAAGTTTTGTAGGCTTTGTAATTTTGAAAATTATTTACAAGACATGATAGTTCTTTTTAGGGCAATTCCTTAGAGTTGAAT